GAAAAAATTAAAGATAATGTTTATATATGAACTGATGAAGATCGGAAGTTTGTTAGAAACGAGCTCTCAAGACGTTACAATGGATCAATTCCACGACTATCTTAAATATTACGTCTAAAAATATGACTTTTTCCTTCAATTTTTTTAATCTGATTTTTGTTTCTTGTTTCATAGTTTATTATCTATGTAAATAATTCACAAATAAAAAAACAAAAAAAAATTCTGATGTAATTCCACCGGCTAAAAAATATTCTGATATTTTTCTGACGTACCTCTTGTGCAAGCACATTTAATTATTAATGTAATCAAATTATATTTTGGTTGGTACTAAAAGAAAAAAATGAGGAAGCTGATTTGCTGAACTTCTCATGCATCCAAAGTGGATGTTAGTTGGATTAATTACTATTCCCAAAAAAAAAAAAAAAAGATTCAATCATGCCTAATTTAATAATTTGGGACGTTGTTGTCTACTTATTTAATTATAAGAATATTGAAGATATTTTTATGATAATAAAATAACATTGGAAATATTTTATTTATAAAAACAAGTAATATTAGTAGTAATAACCGTGTGTCCTTAATATTTGGGGAACATATACGGGGGAGAAATTATGCTTTAGGTTGACGTGGAATTTTTAGTCAAAAGAAAGAATGACATTTTAAAAGGCTTTGCATGCATTCTAAAAGTTGGAGAAAAGGTACGTAATTATATAAATTTTATTATTTTTATTTAAAATTTTATTATTTTTATTTAAAATTATAATTTTATTAATTTTTAAATAAAATTATGAATTTTTTATTTTTTATTTAAGAATATTGACTTTACATATTATTTAAATATATTAATTATAATTTTTTTTAATTTAATAGTTAATTAGATGATGATGTTGATATGATAAATAATTTTTTTAATCACTTAATTAATTTTTAAATAAAAAATAAAATTAACATATTTAAATAAAAAAATTTAAAACTAATATTATTTAAAAGTTAATAAAATTTACACATTTAAATAAAAAAAGACAAATTTCATATTTTTATTCCTACCTTTTATCCAAAAAAAATTGAGTCCCTCCAAAATGAAGAGATTTTTGAAGGATTAAAATTTTATTTTTTTATGAAAAAAATTTATAAAAAAGTATTTTTTTTAATATTTAAATAATTTTATAGGATAAACTATACACATACAATCCATCCTATAAAATAGTTTTGAAATTTTTATTAATAAAAAGATTAAAAAAAATACTCAAACCCATAATATATATGTATAGCTTATGGTACGTATAACAAATTTGATTTCCTAATGGGACAGTTGTAGGAGCATATATACATCACGAAAGACGAGGAAAAGGTTACATCATGCAAAACCAGTTATCAGGAAGCATCTACGGTGTGCCTTGAAACATCCACAGTGCACAGATGAGAGAAAATGCACCAGTCACTAAAAACATAGGTTGGCAAATTTTATTTTTTTTTTTAAATGACAAAAAAAAAAAAAAAAAGGCTTACATGGGAAGGATCATTTGAAAAAAGAAAGGAAAAGAAAAGAAAATGCAAATAGGATCATCTGATCATTTCATGTGATGAACTTTAGAGGCTTTAAGTGCATCACTGTAGCCAAAGCCAGCAACAAGAAGTAAATGAATATCGTGTATATAGAGAGCTTGGGATATGGTTAGCATGCTAATTCAAAATAAATTTCTAACATTCACAGTTGTGAAATTATTTTTTTTTTAAAGAATACTTACGAAATTAATTATCATATTAAAGATTTTGATACAAAAAAAAAAAAGGGTAAATGGACAGTGAAAATCCTGCTAATGGAAGTAAGGCATTTTTTTGTCCAAATTAAGAGCTCTCTCTAAAGTGGGTTAGGATGATCTATGATGTCAACTTTGTCCTTTAACATCTTAATTAGGTTCCTTTTTTTTTTTTTATGTCAATTACTTTATTGCGTAGTGAAAAGTAATCATCTTTCATCTTTTATTGCATCTCACCTACATGTCATACGATTTAAAATCAAAATCTTTTATTTTTAAAAAATTACCACTAAATTATTTAGATATACTTGTAAGTTATTTGAGTACTTGTGGCACAGTTTCTGAATATATTTAGCTTATAGATAATTGTTTTTTGCACTTTTGAATTTTCTTTTCAGTCGAGTTGTGGCTTAAATGTTTGTGTTTTGTGATGGAATATTCCTTATACTTCTAGAATAATATAAGTGCTATATAATTTTGTTGATCAAAAAAAAAAAAAGTTTCTTAAATTCTATTAATTTTGTTGTCAGCAAACAGCGAAACACGGGCCAACTTTAGTAGAGCTAGCATTCTGATCTGCTACGGTTCATGAAACCAACCTGGATTAATTAATTTTACTTCTGAAGTTAATTTTCCTTCGGTGGTTAAAAGCAAATTAACACCAGCCATCAACTTGATTGATATAACAAAAAAATGAGTTAGTAGCGATATTTATCCGAAAATGATATAATTATAAAGTTATGTATGATTAATTAATTGTAAGATTACAATGATAATATAATATTTAAAGAAGTTAATACATACAATATCACATGTAACTAATTTTATGAATAAAAAGAATAAATTATATAACAATATCTTGTAATTCTAAATTTACAATATTAAGTAATATTATAAATATAATATATTTTAGTTATTTAACAGTCAAAAATGGAAGGGAAAAGAGTACGTACCTTTTAAATATATTGCATGATGAATAGGGTAGGCAAAATTAATTAACCATGTGTAGACTATATAGAAATCCAAGAACATGATTTTATATATGTGCAAACTTTATTACTTCTTTTGTTTTAAAATAATTGCCATTTTTTAATTTTTTTGTTTAAATTAAGAATTTGAGGAAAATATTTGTATTTATTAATAATACTTTTAAAAATTAAAAAACAAATTTTTTTATGATTAGATGATTAATTAAAATAAAAAATAATAATTAATTTAAAACAAATTTAAAATAAAAAAGCAAAAATTTATTTTAAGAAAAAGGGAACACTAGCTAAACTACCATAAATGGTAATAACAATTGATTTAACATAGTTGTAATATGGACATTTGGACACCATCCCATTGACAAAGGATATCACTCCTATCTAGTTGCTGAGCTTGTAGTAAAAAATTAGAAAAAAAATGATAAATAAGATGAAAATTTGAAACTAAAATTTGAAACCAAAATTTGGAACCAATGATGTGGTATAAGTTACATTATTTAAAATATTAAAATGTAGAGTCTATATTATTTAATGATTGCTTTTTTTATTTTTTTTTAGACTCATAATATTATATATCAATTAATTTAATGACTTGGCATCAAATTTTAGTTTCAAATTTTTGTCCTCCCTATCATTACTAAAAAAATTATTGTATTTGCAAAGTATGTGGACCATTCCACCAATTAAAAAAAAAAAAGACAATGATATAAAATCAATCTTTTTGTACAAAATTTTTATACAAAATTTATATATCATTAAATAAGTAAAATGCACTTAATATTATGAGTCTTATATGAACAAAAAATGATTATTTAAATAATACGTAAAATTATATAAAAATATTATCTCTAAATATATATATATATATATATATTTAAAGAAAGCTTGAGGAAGGTATCTAAAATTCTTTACTAGTATACTACAACTAGATGCCATTTTACCCCACACCAACAAGCACGTGAAGACGGTAAGGTCATCGAATTAGGCCCAAAAAAAAAAAAAGACAGTATAAAAGTGGGGCAAGTTCCATGCAATTTGGACATCCCACTTCCTAATTAATTCTTCCTATCTTCTCCTCCTAGGATTCTCTCCTCTCTTGCTCCGCCTTCCACCTTTCAAATTTTTGTCCTCCATAAAATGGCAACAGATCACAATATGATTGTCGACGAGGACCTTGTCGACGCCAATGAACTGGTCCCCGTGACAATTCCAACATCACAAAAGGCAAAACGATATATACCTCATCTCTTGAGAAAGGTTACAACAAAACAAAACACAAACTCCCTTCTTTTTGGTTTTCTTCTAATTTAATTTTCTTTAATTTTCTTTTCTCTTAACGTGGGGAAATTAATTGAGAAGGGGAGAATGAAAATACAAGGATTTGAATAATGGTATAGACCAAGGTTATGCTGCATCCTACCGACGGAGCTATCGCTGCGGGTTGATTCACCTTTATATACATAAGTTCTTTGTTTTCTTTAATTAAGAAATTAATAATACTCAGCTATTACCTTAATTTTTCCTTGCTCAATAATTGTATGTGTGCATAGGTGGTTGCAGAGGTTATAGCGACATTTATGCTGGTATTTGTGACTTGCGGCGCAGCTGCCATAGCGAACACTGATGCAAACAAGGTGTCTAGGCTAGGAGCTTCAGTAGCTGGAGGGCTTATAGTGACGGTGATGATATATGCAGTAGGACACATCTCCGGGGCACACATGAATCCTGCTGTCACCTTAGCTTTCGCCTCTGCCAGGCATTTTCCATGGAAACAGGTCAATTTAACCATTACAACATGATTTAACAAGAATTAATACGATTAACTAAATCTTATATCCTTTTTTTTTTTTTTTGTTGGTAAGAGGGCCTATTTGCCCCCTACATATTTTTTCTTGCTGCCGTCAATTTCATAAACAAATTTTTGTTCTGATCAATACTTTTCACTATTCAAAATCCATGAAAAATTCAAAAATTAACAATCAAACTAATTATTTACACCTTGAATTTACAGTCAAATCCCTCGTTTACACTATAACTTTGTTGATAATTTGAGATTTTTTATGGGTTTTAAATTATAGAAGGTATTAACTAGAACGAAAATTAGTTTAGAGGGTTAACCGAAGAAAGAAAAAATGTACAAGGTCCAAATAGGAGGTTCAGCCTTTTTCGTTAGAGAAATTTTTGGAAATAATTAGGTTTTAACAATGCATTTGATTATTGGAGAAGTTAATTTCTTGACAGTTTAAGGATTTAAACTCTTATGCTCTGATCATAAATCAAATTCTTTAAATTAATGAGCATTCACTCAGCCAAATTTTTGTTAATCTTAACTAACTGATAATAACAAAAATCCACAATGGCTGGCATGGTCGTGGTGAGGTCTAACCCGTCACCCATGGTATAAATAAGTAAATAACTCAATAATTCATGAATTAAAAACGAATTTTATTGAATATTTCTCAATTCTCATCCTCCTTTTTTTTTCTTCTTCTTCTTCTTTTTGGCTATGGTCAATTGTTGCATATAAAAATCCAATACAAGTCTTACAAGGCAAACCCCTTTACTTATTAAATTTATCAACTTTAAGGATTTGTGAAGCTCTGTTTTTATTATGATTCTATAATAACTAATTTGATTTTTTTTCTCTTTTTCTTTTTAGTGTGAAATTGAACGGTTTATACATCAATTTCATAATACGCATCAATTAGTCACAGATAGAGATTAGAGAATTAAGAATTGAGAATAAAAAAATCTATTTCTCCCAAATAAGTCTAATATTTTATCCAATTCAAGACAACAAATAAAACAAAGAATGAAAAGAAACAACTACCAGCAGCCAAAGAAACACAATAATTACGTACATAGGAAGCTACAGATGTAAAATTACTCCACTTAATATTAATTAATTTAAAATTAAATACAAAATTTATATTAAAAGTTCAAAACTCACATATTAAATTTTTACAAAATTATGATACGTGGAGCTAGTATTTTTTTTTTTAGTTGTACAATAAAAAATAATTTTTTTTATTTTTTAACCCATTTCTGGTTATATGTTATATGATTTAAAATCATAATATTTTATTTTTACGAAAAGGAATTTAACTATAACTGAACTACTTATATTATTAACAATTAATATTATTCTTTAATTCTGATCTAATGCCCAAATTACACCATTTAATTGGCGCAGGTCCCATTTTATGCAGCAGCTCAACTAACAGGAGGGATCGCTGCGGGTTTCGTACTTCGTGTTCTGCTGAATCCCATTCATCGCCTTGGCACAACAGCTCCTTCTGGCTCTGATCTTCAAGCTCTTGTCATGGAAATTATTGTCACATTTTCTATGATGTTCGTCACTTGCGCTGTCGCCACTGATACAAAAGCTGTAATTATCTCATCAAACAAACTCTTCGCATCAAATTTCCTTTAATTTCCAGAATATTTGTTCCATCTTAATTAATTGAAAACATTCTTGTTTTTACAGGTAGGAGAGCTAGCGGGTTTAGCTGTTGGTTCTGCCGTATGCATAAGTTCCATCGTGGCCGGGTAAGCAAATTACGACCCTTACCCCACGACACACGACACAAATAAACAAAATTAAGATCTAAATATCTAAAAATTTGCCCTTCAATTCATC